TACTCCTTACAATTTAATAAATATACAAACACAAACTTTATCTCTTTATAATATTAGATTATTGATATGTGATATTAGTATAGATTGGCAAGGAAGTTAGTTCTCATTAATTTCTTACTGACGCACGCGTACTGCGAGCGTGTATGTAGCGTTTGTTAAAAATTTTTTAGTTACCTATCTGTTAGCCCACAAAAATCATAGAATTTTAAAAACAATTGAAAAACAATCGCCACAATGGGCCTAGCTTTCATTTTATTCGCCAATTCTAAAACCCTAGCCTTCTAGCGCTGAACGATTGGACTAATTTTTTGGATTTTTTGTTCCAATGCCTACTGGATTCCCTGTTATCTAGCCTCTGCACTCGATGATTTAACAATGCAAATTTGGAATCTAACACCAGTGAATAGAGCACATAAAATAAGACAGTTTGGCAACTGGAACAATAACTCGACGCAGGCTGGTCTCTCTGTTCTTGTGCTGTATGCAGCTTCTGCAATATTGTTTCCGAGCTAAAAGTGAATTTTTGCTCACAAAGTTTCAAAACAAAATTATTTCATGGTCTACAGTTCTAGACCAATAGACAAAGTGCAATATTGCAAATCAAATCAATATGAATGTAATAAGAAAAGATAACGCACTCATCTTAAAAAAAATCATAACTAGCTTTCCGCCCGCGACTTCGCCCGCGTGGAATTTTGTTTGTTAAATTTTCCTGAATTTTCTTTGCTATAAACCTCACGGAGCCCGAGACCTTTCCAACGAATGCAAAACCGTGGAAATCGGTTCGTGCGTTCTGGAGTTATAGCGTCAGGAAGGAAAACCCGACTTATTTTTATATACCTACTAGTAGATTATAATCCCATCAAAAACAATACTTGTCAAAAAAACCAAGTCTCGCAACTCAGTTGTTCTACGGTAAAAAGTTGTGAGATCCATGTAATACCAAGTCCAGGCCAGGAAATCTTTAACGTTTTACATAAATTATTGACTTGGCCATCGCACTAAATAATTTAATTTACACGTGTTTTCATGCGATGGCCAAGTCAATATTTTATGTAAAACGTTAAAGATTTCCTGGCCTGGACTTGGTATTACATGGATCTCACAACTTTTTACCGTAGAACAACTGAGTTGCGAGACTTGGTTTTTTTGACAAGTATTGTTTTTGATGGGATCTCATTTCTTTTTGTATTTTGTAGACAGCAGTTATGTATCTAGAAAACTGGACCGAAAATGAAAAATTTTACTCGACTTGGCGGTTGCACTACCGTGCCCCCAAATATTTTAGTTTTTCCTTGATTCATACACCAAACACTACTTATATTCCAAATTTGAAGCTTCTAGGTCTGCTAGAAGTGCCTTAGAGTTTTGATGATCGGTGAGTCAGTCAGTGAGTCAGTCAGTGAGTCAGTGAGTGACAAAATTAAGTAACTTTGACCCGTTATAATTCTTAAACTACTGGTTCAAATTGAATGAAATTTTAAATATACCGTGTCTTTACAATTCCTGCATAGCTAATGAAAATTCAGCCTTCTAGTTTTATCCACAACGAAGTTACAGGCGGTCGAAAATGGCCTGAATTGCTTCGAGAAAAGGATGGTACGGCCGTGCCGCTTTTTTGCTCGACTTGGTGGGGGCACTGCCGTGCCCCCAGATAATCATAACATAAAACAACATGTTTCATTTTCACACAGAGAAAAATGTATTAATCCAAGTGTGTAGGTTAGCTGGTATTTAAATGGCATTTAGATCACTAACTACGGTTCTAAAACCTATGAAACCAAATTGCAAATCCAAAGCTAGTCGCAGCATAAGTTTGTGACATTTCATATTATCCACTCATTTTGTTTGCATTCGCTCACTCGCTCGCTAATGACGGGGTATTAATTAAGCACATGAGCGTGGCTTATACAGTCTAACTCGCTCATTAACAAGCTGTTACAAACAGAAATATTTGATTATCTGGTGTGATCAGGCCCCCTGCTGCATGCGCCTGTTTCACAGAATTTTCAATCTGAAATCCTTCATAATGAGATAAGTAAATTACGTGTAGGTAAATGTGCATCAAATGTAGCTCTCTCCAAATTGGAATAAGATAAGTTCGCCTAGATACGTTGTGTGAGATAAAGGCATTTTTTTTTCTAGGTAGATTACTTATGTGATGTTGCTCTGTCAGATAAGTAGAGATTATTTTATCAAGCGGTTGGTATGTAAAAATTTAAAATATAAAAGGTAACGTTGGTACGATTAAAGGCTTAAGCCTTTAGCTAGATGTCGCCAGGATCTATGGCATTATTACAAAAATTGCTAAATACTCGTAGAATGTCACTAGAGTAAATGATTCTAATTCAAAGCTACCAATAAACATCCCTTCCCATAATGTTACACTAACCCGACATTACAGCAGACCATGCAGTTAACATGATGTCCGACAAGCAGCCCGCGATTGTGCATGGCGCGACGAATTTATGGCCTCATTTGTAACACAGCGAACACGCCCAATGACGCTTCTAACGCTGCTATGCAGCCGCATTATCGCCTCAATGACTTAGTGATAATTTGTTTAGTCCATCCCCTAGACAAAACACGAACGTTGACGAAATACGTTAAATTAAAAATCCGTTAAACTGTTTTGCGATAGATACAGATCATCTGTTGCCTGTTCTATCTCAATACGTAGACAAGCAGCATTGTGTGTGTAGTATCATAATAATATATCTTGGTTTAAGCGTTATATACCATGAAGTAGGGGAGACTGGGTACGGTTGAAACAAAGGACGGTTGAAACAGAGCAAATATCTCGTAAACGGTTCCACGGGGAGTTAGGGGTCCTAGGGGAAAAAGAAGCGGACAACAGGTCCGAACACGAATTTAGTGCCTAAAACTTCCTAAGGCGTTGACGTTGTGTGCAAAACGCCATATTGTTTTTTACTGCCCAAAAGTAAGTATTTTTCTTCAGACATTAACGCTTATACTACCTGTTCTTTTTATGTGAATGTATCGAGTGTGCGTTTGCGATTATAATGAAGCTTGTAGAATAAGGGCCAGTAACTATTTTTAATGTGTTATCATTAGTGTCGAAACTATAAAGTATATTTTACCAAAAGTGGGGTTGGGGACGGTTGAAACATTTTTTGTGGGTACGGTTGAAACAGAAAATTTATTAATGTTTATTTTTTGTAGATACCGAGAGTTTGGGTAAGGAAGATTTCCAGAGAGGAAATTGACTTAGTAAAGCATTAGAGGTGGTAAAAGCTGGAGATTTACTGCGGAAAGCGGCGGAAAAGTATGGTTTGAAAAAAAAAAAAGATTTTCGTTAATTTTATTCAGAATTTTAACATTATTTTATTATCAATGTTTATTAGGTTTGGAAATATCATTTAGTAAATCATATTTTTGTTATTTTTTAAAATGTTTACTACTAATCAAAGGCTAATTAATGATTTAGAAATATTAAATACTTAGACTGATTAATGTCGTCATGTGGTACTATAATTTTAATATTCGTATTATTAATGATAAATAAAACACGTTTTATTAGTACTTATTGTATTATTTGTATGTATTTCAACAGATCCCAATCGCTGTTTCAACCGCCCCTGGCATGGGGACGGTTGAAACAAAATTTCTTTTTTTTTAAATTGCGTATATTTCTATAAATAGTAACCCGGGAACTATAATGATACAGCCATATCATAGCTAAAACTTCAAATTTCAATTTCACGTATCGTAATCGTCACTTGGTTATTAAACAACAAAATTATAGACAATAAAAGCAAAATTGTTTCAACCGTACCCAGTCTCCCCTACCCTTGGAGAATCCTTTGGGAGTTACGACTGCTGAGGATGCGTTTCGTTTAAGCACTTCTTGTCGCAAAACAAGGGTCCGTCTGACCATTGTATCACTTAATACCATCTCTTAAACCCCCGCCAAGTCTGATCGTCGGCGACAATACCGAACTTTAAAGCTGTTTCATGTCATGCTGCATCTGTTTATCCCCAGCAGCAATGTAGACAGACTTCACACCTCCCTACAAACGTTTTCCAACCTTACTCCTCAGGAAATAAGGACCACCCTTGAACCGCTTTATTGAACCATAAAGATAGGTCCAAGATTATTTTTACGAGAAGATTAAGGGGACAAAGTAATTTTATCTTTACGGGTTACTTGAAGGGCTAGTTAAAGCTGTTGAGTTACAGTTTGTGCAGTTCTTAAGTTGGAAGCACCTATATTTTAGAGAAAATGATGAGAGTACTCGCTTTTACTGTCTGTTTTAAGATAATGGTGAATGCACTAGACAGTGCGCTGTTAAGGTCTTCAAGTAAAGACCTTAGATTTGAAGTCTCGATAGTAGATTGATGTATCTCAGCACTGCAAATACAAATTGGATTTAATAGCATAGGCAGCAGGTACACAAAAATTCAAAAGATGATATTATTGTCTTTAATCCTATGCGATATTGGTTCCCGACTTTAGCATACAAAGCTGTAAAAGATCTACTTATTACTGACTTTTACTCAAGTATAAAAAATAGCAAACTATTTTATGCCTTTTTTAGCCTTACCAGTGTAAAGTTCGCCGTGTAATGGGGCTCGCAAAATCCGCTTATGGGCTATTAAGGCGTGCAAACGGTCAGGTAAGAGCATTACACGCGTCCGCCGGGAAATATCCATTACAACTCTTTGTGTGGTTACCCTACGCCGCGATCATATCTGATCAAGAAGTAAGTATCCGCAGGCCATTTATAGGCTATTTAAATAGTCCCTTATAAAAAAGCACCCAACTTTTGTAAGAAATGAGGTAATTTAGGCAGCTATGTTATAACCGCTCCTTAATACAAAAACAAACTCGAAGGAACTTTGTATGATAAGAATCACCTTTTTAGAGAAAAATTTACTTGGGTATTATGACAGCGCATTTTGTGTCACTTTGGCATTTTGAAATGATTTAAAATTACGTTTTTTGTTACGGGAAAATTTTATTGCTTTTTTATGAGATCATGGATGAAAATGAAGGCGCCAGTCTTGACGTGGAATTTAAAAGGTACCTGCAAATTATGAGGCCATATTTAGAACAACTTCTAGACCAAGACGTGATAGAGATTTGCAAGGCCTGGATCCAAAGACTCTCAAACTGTAACGATAAAGAGAAGAACCTTCGCAATAAGTATGTGTTTTCTTTGTGCTATCAATTAGCTAAAGGAGTCCTTGATGAACCCTTTCTAAATTCCCCACCAGCAACGGAACTGCCTCCACTCTCTGATGAGCTGGATAGTGATAGTTCGTCGAACGAAATTGAGTACTTTGTGATTAATTCTGAAGAAGATACCAAAGTCCTGTTCAATAATAAGAAATTACCTCAGCTATCAGATACAGACTACCATTCCCAAGATAATGATACTGAATCCCAGAAAAATGAGTCAAATAGTTTTGAAAAGCAATTTCAATCAAATAAACAAACATTTTATTGCTATACGTGCCCAGAGATGCCAAGAGGTTTTGAAATACAAAATCAGTCGTGTGATGAGTACAAATTCAGAGCCAAAAATTTGATAATGAAGTTACGGGAAATCAAAACCCAAAATATTCAACTGCACAAAGAGTTAGAAGTATTGAGACAAGAGTGTAAAATCAAGTCGTGTGAAAATTTAGATGAAAGTATTATAAAAGTTGATCACTGCACTAGCGTATGTTGTCACTCTAAAGATAGCAGTACTACACTTACCTCATTGAAAACAAAACTGCAAGAACTACAAGATTCTCGAAATGTTTTAATTCAAACAATAGAACACTTACAAGAAAAACTTGACAACTACGACGATATGAAAAAACATGAACTAGAAGAAATCGAAGCTCATCATAAACTGGACATAATAAAAACTAAAACAGCTACTCGTGAAGAAACAAAGGAAATCTACGAGAAGAAAATAGAAGAAGTCAAAGCAGAATACGAAATGATGATTGAAAATATTCGGAGTAAGCTGGATTCTGAGAAGCAAGAGATTATTTTAGCTAAAAACCGAGTTATTTCTGAAAAGGAAAAGATAATAGAGGACAAAGATAATGAAATTATTCGCCTACGAAACCTCAATGATGACCAGAAGGGCCATTTGCATGAGGTAATAAACAAATTTTTGGAAAAGCCAAACGACGATACACCTAGTGACAATATGAGACTGAAAGCGGAACAACTCGAGAAGCGTTTGAACAAAATTGAAAAAACAAAAACAAAAAATGCCAGAGTGTACGAGGCTAAATTGGCACATTTACAGCGCGAGAAACATTTGGCCGAGTGTTCGTTACAGCTACAACTAGTTAGACAGAGGGCTCAGGTCGTTAGTGAAGTAGCTGACGAGAATCAAACGGAACTGACGGCCGCCCTGAACAAATTGGAAAACAAATACAAAGAGATCGTCGGAAACATGCAGGCCACTGCAATCCAGAGAAGAGTGCAGGATCAGATGGCTATAGAATCGATATTGCACGCCGCGTGCGGAATCCGGAACGAGGGTTATACGAATTCGCAAGGCACAAACCGCAGCCAATTCTCCGGCAAAACTATGCAAAATCAAAACAGAAATGGGAATCAGATGAATCAGAGTTATGACAGCGAAATTTCGGCTTTGCTGAACGGCAACAAGGTTGAAAACTTAATTGGGGGTAACAAATCTTTGGGTGAAGACACCGTGTTGGCCGGATATTGTTTGGATGGTGAGAGAATGGGAGAACTATTCGAAAGGGTGTACATACCACAAAAGGACATCGGAGATGGGCCCTTGAAGAAGTAGTCCAACAATCCTGCAACTATCCGGCCTTTGTGCGGCGGCCCTTAAATTATATCGCCCAAAGTTTGTCGTAAGTGGTGCCAAGCTTAATATCGTTTCAATTTATTTAGAAGGCCTGTGGGTTATTGTTTCAATTTGTGAGGGTGATTTGTTAGCCAATAAAATGCCATTGTTTTGGAATAAATTTAAATTCCCATTTATTAAATAGTATTATTGTGAACTAAGTGATAAGTTTAGGTTACATTTCGTTAACCCGCTGGCCTCACCTGGCTCAGTGCAGTCACTGAAACTTTTTAGTTTTAACTTCTATAACTCATCACATGAAAATTTAATGAAATGAGTACAGTCAGAAGCAAAATGGTTAATTTAAAAATTGACGTAATTATTATTATAATTGACCTATTTCATCATACAATAGTTTCATTATACGATTCATACCATTTTATCGGTGTAGGTAAGTAATTTTTTTATCAAATCAGTATCAAATGCGGTGCCGTTAAATGCTTACAGGCATTATCTGACAATTATAACACTAGGTTCTCCTTCAAATGACCCCATAAAATCGTTTACTAAACCCACAGACCGCCAACGATTTATGTTATCGAGGCGTATTCAACCACAGATTAGTTTACAATAAACGAACTGCAGATACGAGTACATCTAAACTCTGCTCAACTAATTGCGGTTTAACTGAAAATTAACCGCTCTCGTTACTGGTTACAGAAACAAAATTTTAATCAATTTAACAAATTGCTTTTTGAGGGCATAGTAAAATAGTCATATTTTTTGCCATTAAATTTTTTTGGCCTAAGATCTATAAAAGGTCACGGGCAGCGCAAGACCGATCGTTGTGGAAATCCTTGGGGGGGCCTATGTCTGGACTTACGAGACTTTTAGGCCTCAGCCTCGAACTTAGCGGGCAGCGGGGCGGCGGCGGCGGCGGCGCGGGATTGGGGCGGGCAACGCAGACCCGTTCTCGAAACCAGCGGGCAGCTCGCGCGGCGCTTTAGCGGCGAAGTGTTGTGTTCGGGGTTGTGTTGTCGAGATATTTATTTTTATTCGCGAACGAAATGCGTAAAATCAAATAGACCGGTTCTCGAAAACAGCGGCGTGGCAGCGGATCCGGAGCGGGCAACGAGCGGGGAGCGGGCAGCGCACTCCTTCTTTTGCCCACAATAAATCGAGCGTTAGGAATAAATTTGAATCGAAATAAAATTGTCGCCGTTGTTCAGACATTTCGTTTGCGAATAAAAACAAATATCTCGACAACACAACCCCGAACACAACACTTCGCCGCTAAAGCGCCGCGCGAGCTGCTCGCTTGTTTCGAGAACGGGTCTGCGTTGCCCGCCCCGCTCCAGCGCCGCCGCCGCCGCCGCCCCGCTGCCCGCTAAGTTCGAGGCTGAGGACTTAAAATCACTTTTTAATTTTATTTAACTAACTTAAAGTATCGGAAGTCCCGCTCTATTTTATCCTTTTTTCCTTCCCAACTCATAAAATATCGGCAACCAGAGGGAAGCTTATATTACTGCATATTTAAGACTTGGTCACAGCTGACGATGGCCGCCGGACGGAGTCCGTCCGGGACCGAGACCGCGACTTGCGACTCTCTGGGGGTCTGCACTGCGCGTGGTCTAAGTTGCTGTCTTAGAGCATTTATTTATTTATTTATTTATTATTCATTATTGAGCAATTACATATTTGATCCAAATAGCGTCCTAAATCCTCTTTACTTTATTCACTAACTGATTACAAAAATAGCTACTTCTATCATGTTGTACAGTAGGTCCATGTCTGAGGTGAGGGGTCGTGAAATGCAGCGTTGAATTTCAGCCTCAACTACGAAAAAGCTTGCGCTCACGGTTTATGTGTTGCTGTCACTTATGTAATTATCTGTGTTGAAAATACTTATTTATACATAAAATATTTTTGGCACTAAATTAATATACTTAACTTTAAACACCCTCCTTGACAATGATAATTGGATTCTCGAATGACTCAGAAACCCGTAGATTCATGGGAAATTGAATGTGGTTTCATTTATTGGTATTACAATGTTAAAGTGGTGTCCTTGCTAGTACAATTTCTAGTTCCGCTTTAACTTGTGCTTGAGGCCATGCCCCAAACCGCAGGAGAGCGGCTGGCGACGTCACCGCAAAACCTGCACTCGGAAATTGACTGCAACGCTCCGACGCGGCGCGAAGTGAAGTATAGTCACTTGGAATTTATGTTGCTCTTTAATTAAACCTTTGTTCATGACTCTCGAGTCTGACTACACGTTTAGAAGTAAACTTTCAACGACCCCACAACAAACAAATAAACGTTGATGCTTTCAACGCCTGATGTTAACACTTTAGCAAATAGTTGCGCTACGTATTTTGCACGCATTCCTTGAGTAGGCGCGTTTCAAATTGCGACTGAAGAAAGGCTTCTTTCAAACAAAAGTTATCGTAGAATTTGCTTCATCATCATCCTGAAAAACAGCGTCCAGAATTATACAAGTAAGAGGGTCAAGCGACCTTACTTCATGGTGTTAAGATTCAATATCTGCTAAAGTGTCACATTCCTCCCACGAGCGTTGATTAAACGAATTCCAAAGCATTTCGGGTTATCGAAACAAAAACCTCCTCAAATTCGGGAGGAACAGTGTAATCGGGAAATACCTAATCGGGAACGGACGTCTTCCTCTGTTTGGGATGTAGTTCAAATAAAAAAGCCATGTGAAGAAAATATGCTGATGATGTGAGAGCCACACTTTGCTAGTGGGCCGGTTAGTTAAAGTCAAGTTCCAATAAAGTGCGCCTTCGTCCGCGATCTCTATGTATCTGTTACGGATTTTTTAATCAGGCATTTATTAAATAAATTATGTTTTGAGCCTAATTAAAATAACTACCTGCCTGTGACAGTAAAGGTCCTCTCAAAGTTAGTTTACCCTTTTCTGATTAAAAAAAAATAACCCTCCTTCTGGCGCAGTCGGGTAAAAACAGACAGCAGACAGAAAATAATTTAAAAATTGTGTAATTATTTAGAAAAAGCGGTTAAAGTAAAATTCAAATTATATTACACCTACAACCAGGCGCGTCAGGTTCACCAAAATATTTTCATAGAATAGCGAATAAGTACAATTTTAACATCTGCAGTTTAAAAGTCAAGTTAACGAAGTTAGTAGACTGTTCTTGCCGCTCCTCGCTGAGCCGTCAAGCACCAGCATCCCCAAAGTGTTTTTTCATCGGGAATCAATTAATGTCTAACCAATCAAGAACAGACATTTCATCAGCTAGGAGTGGTAAAAGTCAATTATTACAAAAGTGAATGAGTGAAAAGGGTTCTGGGGGAGTTTTTATGGAGTCAGGATTTTCTAAGGCATTTGAGAATTGGTGCGGATAATCGTTTGAAAGGAAATGAAACTGAAAAGGCGTAAGTGTTTTTGTTTTACAAAATTACTGGAGCTGCTGCCTGGGCGTTTTCTGTCTTGATGTAACTTTTATTTTTTAGTATAGTTTTAATTTATGTTTTCTTTCTGCTGTCAATAATCTAGGATCTATAAAAAATTTTGACATACGCTCATCCAAAGTCATGTATAATTAGCATGCTTAAAATAGACGTGCTCGAAAAATTCGAAATGAGCATGCTAAATTAGCAATGTTTCGACATAAATGCTACTAAGCAGCAATTGCTTAGTAGTAGCATGCTTTCGTGCAAGTCTTCTTCTTCTTTTCAGCCAAATGACGTCCACTGCTGGACAAAGGCCTCCCCCAAGGTTTTCCACAATGAACGGTCCTGCGCTGCCCGCATCCAGGCTCTTCCCGCGACCTTTACCAGATCGTCGGTCCACCTAGTAGGAGGCCTGCCCACGCTACGTCTTCCAGCCCGTGGTCGCCACTCGAGAACTTTCCTGCCCCAACGGCCATCGTCTCTACGAGCTATGTGCCCCGCCCACTGCCACTTGATTTTAGCAATTCTGCGAGCTATGTCGGTTACTTTGGTTCTCCTGCGGATCTCCTCATTTCTGATTCGATCACGCAGGGAAACTCCGAGCATAGCCCGCTCCATCGCCCTTTGGGTGACCTTGAGCCTACTTAGGTACACTTCAATGAACACATTAATTTAATTATTGTACAAGATAATTCAATTGTCCTCTCCAGTTTCGGTTATCAGGACTTGAAGTGTAATTGAAGGCAACTCAAATATTCATCGGCCGACTTTAGTATCGAATCTGAAGTAATTCCCCGCAAATTGGTGCCCAAAAATTAAACCGTTATCGAAGGGCATTGTTCCAAAAGTGGCTTAGGGCAGAAACACAATAGTGATCGGGTTACTACCACAAAATAGCTACCTATTGGAGCATTAATCGTTCGTTCGTTCATTTCAGCCGAATGACGTCCAGTGCTGGACAAAGACCTCCCCCAAGGATTTCAACAAAGACCGATCCTGCACTACCCGCATCCAGACACCTCCCGTAACCTTCACCAGATCGTCGGTCCACGTCTTCCGGCTCGTGGTCGCCACTTGTCGGAGCATAATATTTAAATGTTTATTGTCCGTGGTGTATATCTTTTAAAGGTTACTAAACCTTTGTTTGTCCCCTGTCATTCGCTTTGCACTGGAAGGCTTTAAACATTGGCACTGCCAATATATTTATGAACTCGACTGTACCTACTGAAATTGAGTCCAGTTTTCAGTCTCGTTTCATTTACCGAAAGAAACTAATTTCCGGGTCAATTCTTGGAAATCATTTAAACAGAAATGACTCTTTTGTACTGTGCGGGACTGTTTATTATCCGGCTAAAAACTGTACGGAANTTTCTACGCTTTTCCTCTATTTTATTTTCACGCCACGAAGCCTCCCGCCGGTATGGAAGCTGCGATGACTCCTGCCGATTTCTATTTTGCGACGACTCCCGCCGGTTATGCGGTGATCTTCGGTTTGCGCCTGACGGATTTCTATCGGCAATCTGATCGGTCTTACGAGTTAACGCCACTGTTGCGTTGACTTTTTCGGTAGGCGCAGCGGGTTCGTGGTGCAGTAATCTGTGATGAGTTTTTCTGCACCCATTTACTTTACACTGTATCCCTGGACATCTATGTGCCCTAGTCCAGGGACGAAGACAGCGGTAGCACAGGCGGTTTTCTTTTGCGATTTCCCAGCGTT